CCTCCGCCCCCACCATCCCGTTTGGGCCGGAAGGAAGTGGCAGATTCTCTTTAATTTCCTCCTGGCAGTGAGAAGCAAACAAACGGCTACCACAACTCAACTCCTTGTGAGGCCACCCACGCTTACTGGGAGGGGCCTTCTGACCAAAGGTCCCTGCCCAGTGCCACTCCTGCTTCCTCAGCTGTAAACACGCTGCTTCTCCTCCCCCTTTCCAAGCTCTGTGGGAAGGGGGATTCCCCTTTGGGCCAAGGCGATGCTCCTCCCGTCTCCCCAGGGTCAGGTCCCTGTGCCAGCCAGGAGCCCCTGACCCTTCCAGCCTGAGTCAGGGGTTGGGCGGGTGAAGTCTCTCAGTCCTGGGGCTGCCTCTCCCTGCACCCGCATTGCTCTTCTGTGTACAGATAAGGATACCGCACTACCACACTACGCCTCCAGAGTCCATGGCTTTCTGATGTTGGGCAAGTCCTCTCTGGGGCCAAGGGCCCTCCTCTCAGAGTGGAATCAGCTGTTCTCTGCCTGCTTGAGGCTGGCTGGAGGGTAAATAGGCTACCCTGTGATAGGGCACTATGTGGCTAATGGGTTCACTGTGATGAACCTGCCCTAACCAACTCCCCAAACCAGTGCTCCCAGAAAAGAGACCCCACCCAGGAGGGCGACTGAGGCTTAGTCTGGTCTCGGCCATCAAGCTTTAGGTACCATTTCTGATTTTTCTTACACAAAAACTGTCTTCGTAAAAGTGCTCCATTCGCTTTTCCTTATACCCTGACTGGAACAGGGCAGACAGTGAAGCCCCAATGGACCTTCCCCCAACCCCCAGGCATCCTGAGCCAGTCAGAGCTAATGGGAGGACCCTTGTGGGCCAGGTCCTCAGTCTGAAGATTCACTTCCCCAGTAGGGTTGGGCTTTGTCCTCCAGCCTCTCTGCCCACCACTGTGGTTTCCTGGGGAAATCCCTTCTCTGGTGGGGTCAGATTCATTTTTGGGCTATAGAGGAGAGGCAGGGGTAGAGGTCAGCTACTAAGATAGAGGCTGGAGCGTGGGGACTTCGAGGGCCCAGGAGAAGTACTGGGGAGAGGGTCATTCCCAGGGGAGCAGGTAGGTAGGGGCCAGTACATGTTCCATGTCTAAGGATGTCTGACAAAGATCTTGGTTAAATATGTTTGCCCACAAATGGTCTCACTTCAGCATACCTCAGTGAGGCCCACCTGGTCTCAGAGTGACGTGCCTAAGATCTGGGACTGAGTGGAGGGCCCAGTCAGGTCTGAAAGTTCCAGCCACTGTTCTCACCATGCCCGCCTTAAACTAAGGCCGCTTAGACACCCAAACCCCTCTCTGGGCTAGTGGCCACAATACTTATCCATCCATTCCAGCCGTCTTGATTGAGGACTTCCTCCTCGCTCATCACATTTTGGGACAGATGGTTTTGCTAAGAACATGAGAGGGAGGGATGCGTAAGGGTAGAGAGGGTGGCAGGTCTTCCAAAGACCACAGCAAGAAGACTGGATTTTGTGCAGATGATTGGGGAACCTCTTACCCCTGCAGTCCTGCACGTAGTTCCTTCCAGGTGTCCCTCTTGCTCAGAAGTCTTCCATGGCTCTTCACTGCCCTCTGGATCAAGTCCAAACTCCTTAGCCTAGCATTTGAGGACAAAGTGCTGACCCTGTCTTCTCAGCACCCTGTGCTGACTTCAGCAACTAACTTTCTTCAGTTGTAGACTGGAGCTGCTCAAGGGCAGTCCTCATGTCGCGGATGGCCAGCCTTGTCATGGGGTGGCGAACAGGCACAGAAGACGTATCAGCCCTAGCTGGTTTGGCTCAGTGGATAGAGCATCAGCCTGTGGACTAAAGGGTCCCAAGTTCGAGTGTGGTCAAGGTCACATGTCTGGGTTGCAGGCTCAATCCCGAGTAGCGGGTGTGCAGGAGACAGCTGATCGGTGATTCTCATCATTGATGTTTCTATCTCTCCCTCTCCCTCTCTGAAATCAAGAAAAAATATATTTTAAAAAAAAGTATCGAACAAGAGTTTGGGGGGAGGGGATGTGTGGAATGGAGAAAGTTTTCCAAACTCTGACTTTCCTCCAAGGCTTCTGTTCCCTCTAATGTGGAACAAGGGGGCCTAGACTGGACTAAGCTGTATCATCTCATGGCTCAGAGGCCACAGGAGAGCCTTCAGCAAAGGGGGCTCAGAGCCAGGCCTGCAGCAACTGATGAAATAGATGGCCTTACCTAAATCTCAGGCCTGGCTGGCCTTCACAGAGGAGGGAGAGAAGGCATGAAGGGACCCACAACTAGCCCGGACTAGGGTTCCGTCTACTGCACCGGTCCCCTGAGCTTCCTGCTTTCACAGGGCTCTCAGGAGGCTGGAGGTGAGTCAGATGGCCTCCTGCCATCTCAGAGAGTTTTGGAGCTGGCCCGAGGAAGAGCTCATCCGGGAGGTCCTGGCCCTAACTGAGGAAAAGGGGGTGGCGAGAGTTCGTGTATTGGTGTGTGTATGTGGTGGCGGGGCCCTGTCACAGCCTGCAGAGCTTCCAGCCATTGCTGCCTTTCTTACAAAAGTGACATTCTTTCTGAAGTTTCTGCCTACTGCCCAGCTCTCATCACTGCATGGCAGGGTTCTTAGTTTCCTCCAGACCAGAAATCTTCCCCAAGACCTGATTCCTAAGTTTGTCTCCAGGTGCAGTGGCTGAGAACACAGCTGCATCACCCAGCATTTGATGGATCGGTGAATTTTTCAAGCCATCTACAGCTTCTGTGGTCCCTTCCTGTCGGTGGGGCTGACAGGCTCAGTCTCCCTCTTGCCTTTCCCCTGGCCTGGCTGGCTGAGTCACTGTTTCAGGTAAAATCATGTCTGGAGGACAGAGAGGCTAGATAAAGGTCTATTTTCACCATCCAGATGATAACCTGGGAGGTATGTGTGAGGGGGCAGGGGACACATCCTGAAATTGCATTTTTTTTTTTTTAATGGGGAGAGGGAGGTAAGTTAGACAACCTCCTGGGGCTTTTTACTATACCAGGGTCGTATTACATGTGGTACTAATTGGCAGGCCAGCCACCTATCTATCTGCCTGGGGCAGAAGGCTTTGAAAAGTTAGTGTGGCTTTTGGCCTCTAAGTTTTACACTCAGTTCCTCAGGGTTGGAGATCCTTTGAAATCAGAACAGCTTATCGGGGGATGTTACACCCACTTAATGCCATTTGATGTTACACCCACTTAATGCCATTTGCTCCCTCTCCTTGGCGACTGTTATTCTCTCCTGCCTCCAACCTCCCCCACTTTCAGTTTAATCCAGGGATTCATTCAGAATCCTGAACATGGAAGTACCCTGCTCCAAACCCTTCTGTGGCTCCCTACTGCCCTCAGCATGAAGTTCAGATGTCCTGCAGTGACCTGCAACACTCAAGTCTTCTCACTGCAGTTACTTTTCTTTTCTTATATATTTTTTTGGTTAATCCTCACCCAAGGATATTTTTCCCATTGATTTCTAAAGAGAGTGGGAGGGAGGTGGTGGTGGTGGTGGTGGACGGAGAGACAGAGACATCAATTGGTTGCCTCCTGCATGCCCCAACCTGGGCCAGGATTGAACCTGCAACCCAAGTACTTGCCATGGATTGGGAGTCGAACCCAAGACCCTTCGGGCTGATGCTCTAACCTCTGAGCACTCTGGTCAGGACTCACTGCAGTTACTTTTGGTCTCCAAGACTGGAAATTAGTCCCTGCCTGGAACTATCTTCCTCACCTCTTGTCCCTCTCTCCAGTTCATACTTAGCCCTGGTGGAGAATTGGTAGCCAACGGGATTATGAACCTCTGAGCTCTTGGCACAGTTCTAATCTCTACAGTGATTATAGATTTGCTGGCCTCTCCCTCACCCCTGAAAGGACACTAATTCATCTCTGCGTCCCCCATTCATCTCTGCGTCCCCCCTGGGTTCCTCTGCAACGCGGTGGGCCTGGAGCTAGTGGAGTTGGCCACCTCCGCTCTCCCAGCTCCGCGTCCATCCTGGGCCTCGGAGCAGCTGTAAGTAAACAAGCCAGGTTCAGCGTCCCCGGGCACTGCCTCCATCCCAGGCCCCAGGAGGAGGCGTCTTGGATTGTCTCAGGGGAAGGAAGACTAGCTTGCTGGGGAGGAGCCAAAAGAGCAAACGGTTCTTTAACACAGTGTCACTTCCCCACTAACAGCACGATCCCTCCCGCTTTCATGTGCACTGGGACGCAGAGGTCACTAGTCCACGAGTGTCGCCAGTTCACGAAGGGCTCCCCAACTTCCAGCAGGGGACAGACTTTGCCCATCAGGCCGCGCCGAGGCCTCGAACGCGCCGCCGATTGTGCTCCAGGGAGCAGCTGCCAGGCCGGCTCACGGGGGCAGACAAAGGCGCAGCCTAGGAAGCGCGGGACCCGCCCAGTAGGGGTGGGCCTACAGCGACGCGAAGCTCCGACTCAGGACTGGGGGGGCTGCCCAGGTCCTGGCTTCGCTCCGCCCAGGCTCGGTCTGGTCCCCGCCTTCTGGAGCCCTCGCCAGGTTGAGAAGGTTTGAGTGGTGTCCACGTAACCCTCCGGGGCCCTGATACCTTTCCCAAACCCAGTCAAGCAGAGCAATACTGCAGCAGCTCGTCACCGAACCCGTAACCTCCGGGCTCCGGGGCCCCTTCCTCGACGTGAGCTCCGCCCAATAAGGAAAGGGATTGCCTCCGATTGGCCGGTGGGCTCCTCAATTAGAGAGGGCTATTGACTTCACAACCGGTGCGCGGGCCTGGCTCAGAAGCTGGGACGGGAATAGAGGCCAAACTACAACTCCCAAGAAGTAGCGGGGCTAGTCAGCGCTCCGTAATCACGTGACTTCCTTCTCCGGGAGACGAGGTCACGCAGTAGGCGGGTGAAAGGGCGGGGCCGTCGGGTTAGCCCGAGGCGCCAGTGGCCTATGGGCGGCCCGGTCAGACGAGTGCGCGGTAGGGGGCGGGGTCGGGCGCGCGGCTCGGCGCGGGAGCGCGCCGGCGGCGGCGGTGGCGGCTGTTGCAGGGCGGGGAATGTCGGCTACGGCGACTGTGGCGGCTTAGGCTGGCAGTGGCGGCAGCTCCTGGTGCAGTTCGGCGCGCAGCCAGCTCTAAAGTTCGGAACGGAACGCTCGGCGTCGCGGATCCCGCCCGGAAAGTTTGTCGCGGAGCCGCTACCTTCAGGCTGGCGCGACCCGGCATGAAGCGGCGCTGAGGAGCTGTCGCCGCTGTAGCTGCCCCCGTCGCTGCCGCCGCCTGAGGAGCCACAGCACCCTGGGCCACGCCGATGACTACTGCAAACTGTGGCGCCCACGACGAGCTCGACTTCAAACTCGTCTTTGGCGAGGAAGGGGCGCCGGCGCCGCCGCCTCCGGGCTCGCGGCCTGCAGGTGGGTGCCGGGCCGGGCGGGACGGAGGAGCGTCCGTTCCTCTTCTTGCTCGCACGAGCTCACCCTCTCCCTGGTCCTTTGCTCGTCCGGTGTCTGGTGACACCGTGTCTGCGTGCGTGTGGTGAGTGAAGAGCGGATTTAAATCGCCGAGGAGGCGTGCGGGTCGCAGCGACGTGGAAGTGGCGCGGGCTTGGCTCGTAGCGAACGAGCGAGCGGGGAACTCGACTGCGGGACGCCGGGGGCCAGTCGGACTCCTGGGGGGTTCGGAGGCCGAGGGTCGGCGTCGCGTGGTGCGGAGAGAATGTGGCCCCTGTGAAGTGTAAGCGCACTTGGTTTTTCATCTCTTCCGAGTCTGTACACATCTTTATTTGAAAGATGCGCACTCTTGGAGCGTTAGGAGCTCTCTGAAATGCGTGCACACGTCGTGAAGTCTGCTTTTGCCGGGAGAGGAATGCTCTCGTGTTAAGTTCCACTTGTGCAAGTTTATGGTCCACTTTTACTTCGAGGTGTAACTTGTAACGGGACTTTGTGAAAACTAGGTGTGGTGTTTTTGCTTTTTTTCTTAAGCGAAGTGTTTCGGAAGGTGAGGAGAAAGTGGGGTGCTTTGTTCATAATTGTTGAAAGTTCTGGAAGTCAATTTTATTTTAAGAAAAAGTTCACCTCAGAAGATGGTTTAAAGGAGATGGTGAGCTGGGAAGGCTGGGCACAATAATACATGGAGGTCAGACCCGTCAGGAAATAGAAACAGGATGGCTGGGGACCTAGAGCTCTCCGGTGACCTGGTTTTAAATACGGTGGTTCATTAAGTTCACTTTCCCTATTACATACGTAAGGCGAACTTTAAAGGGGAGGTGGATTAAGACTAATCCCTATTTATTCTTTACGGGTATTAGGTGAATTACCTCACGTTCATATTGATGCTCAACAGTGTTCTGTAGAGTTGCATTGAAAAAACATATTTGAATGTGAGTCATAAGGATTCTCTGGGCTGTATTTTTTTTTTAATCAGTCCTTTTAGCCTCTACACGTTAGATGTCTTTTCAACATAATAAATAATTTACAATAGTTCATTTCAATCCCTCTGACATCACTTGAGCACCGATTCTGTGGAAGGTGCTGTTAGATACTCTGTAGTGTTGTGATAGGCGCAGAAAGGACTGACGCCCCTCCAGGAGCGTGGGAAATGGGGCTGAGGGGGCACAGACCCAAATAACTCTGCTGCTGAGCCACAGGCAGACTGAATGGTGGTTCTGGTATCATAGAGGTAGAAAGGGAGAGAGTTGTATTTCTGGAGATGGCGGCATTGAGTTGTACCTAGATTATTGAGATTTGACAAAATAAAAACTACCTTGAGTATTGTCATTGAAAAGAAGGTAAACAGTTGGTGATGTCAGCAAACTTAATGGGCACAAACTTCATTAGAGCACATCATATGCCAAATATTTATATACCAAATATATGATCAGTAAAGATGTTAACCAGGTTGGGGTCTAGGTTAAACAGCAAACAAAGGCAGGCAGCCCAGAGTCAGCTGGGGTATTGGGATATAGACAAGTCACACAGCTGAGTTTATCTGCAGTTACCAGGATTGATCAGCTCAGGGTCTATTTCTAAGGTCTTCTCTACTCAGCACCACCCCCAAATAAATAAATAAATAAATATTAATGAAACAAAGGAGTATCATCATGTAAATGGGAATTTTATGTACATCCAAAATACTGCATAACATTCAAAACCCATCAAAACAGCTTTTTTAGAAAATATATTTTTTATTGATTTCAGAGAGGAAGAGAGAGGGAGAGAGAGAGAAACATCATTGATGAGAGAGAATCATTGATTGCCTGCCTCCTGCACACCTCACACTGGGGATTGAGTCCACAACCTGGGCATGTGCCTGACAGGGAATTGAACCATGACTTCCTCGTTCATAGGTGATGCTCAACTACTGAGCCATGCCGGCCAGGCAAAACAGCTTTTTAAGAAATGATTTTAGCCCTAACTGGTTTGGCTCAGTGGATAGAGCGTCAGCCTGCGGACTCAAGGGTCCCAGGTTCGATTCCAGTCAAGGGCATGTATGTTGCGGGCACATACCCAGTGGGGAGTGTGCAGGAGGCAGCTGATTGATGTTTCCAACTCTCTATTCCTCTCCCTTCCTCTCTGTAAAAAAATCAATAAAATATATTTTAAAAAAAAAGAAATGATTTTAAAAAGATTTTTAAAAACTGAATTGTAGAGAGAGAGAGAGGGAGGGAGAGAGAGAGAGAGAAGCACATCAGTGTGAGATCGAAACATTGATGGGGTACCTCGTCTCCTGCAGGTGCTCTACTGGAGATCGAGCCTGAAACCTGGGCATGTGCCCCGACCAGGAATTGGACTGACAGCCTTTTGGTGCATGGGACGATGCCCAAAAAAACAGCCACACAGGCCAGGACCAAAAAATGATTTTTATTTATTTATTTTTGCCAAAAAAGCCCACATGATCATTTTGATATTAATATGGGTCTTAGAAGGAGTTAAGGTTTGAAACTTGATTTATAACTAAAATTTCTAAAGTTAAATTTGAGCAATTTTATTTGTGACAAAAAAGTTCAATTTAAAATAATCTAGTAGCTACTTTTTAAAAGTTTTTTTAATTAAGGCAAAATGCACATGACATAAACCATTTTAAAGTTAATGATTCAGTGGCAATACATCATTCACAATGTTGTGCAATTACTACCTCTAGTTCATATATATATGTGTGTGTGTGTGTGTGTGTGTGTGTGTGTGTATATATATATATATGTATATATATATATATATATTTCAGAGAGAGGAAGGGAGAGGGAGATAGAGATAGAAACATCAATGATGAGAGAGAATCATCAGTGGCTGCCTCCTGCACACCCCTACTGGGGATCCAGCTGGCAACCTAGGCATGTGCCTTGACCAGGGATTGAACCATGATCTCTTGGTGATGCTCAACCACTGAGTCACACCTGCCAGGCTAGTTCCAAAATATTTTCATCACCCCAAAAAGGAAACCCTGAACCCATTAAATAGTTGTTCCTCATTCTCCCTGACCCTCTCCCAGTTCCTGGTAACCCAGTCCCTAATCTGGGAGGGATCTGTCTGTGTGGATTTACCTCTTCTGGATATTTCATATAAATGGAATCATACATATGTGACTTTTTGTGTCTGGCTTCTTTCACTTATAATGTTTTTGTGGTTCAACCATGTTGTATTGCATTCCTTCCTATGGCTGAATAACATTCTATTGTATATATCCCCCAATTTGTTTATACATTCACCCATTGATGTTGAATAGTGCTGCTATGAATACCTGGCAGCTAATTTTTAAATTCTCTTGAGAAGGGTATATTGTATATTATATATTCAGAGCTAAGGTTTCAAAATTATTGAGTCACAAAATTAGTTTTCATTTTAATAAGCATAATTACGAGTGTAGTTTGAAGAAACTAAGCGGATTGACTGACATGGTTTTAAGATCATAATATGCAGTAAAATGGGCCATGAGAATAAAATTGCTTGGTAGAATTCAGATCAGTATTGGGTTATATCAGTGTTTTTACTTATTTTTGGATTCTCTTCCTCATTAGAATGGAAGTTCCATGAGGGCACAGGTATTGTCTAGATCTTGTTGGTACTTGTTATTACCAGTGCCTAGTATCGTGCTTTGAACACAGTAGACACACAATATTTGTTGAATTAATTAATAAATACTTAAGTTTTGAGTCAGTGCTCACTTTTTTGTGTGGTAGAGGATGTTGATGAGACTTGTTTCAGTTCTTTGGTTTTTATTGGTCAGATCCATAAGGCAGCAGATCTTGGTAATTTTGGGCTGCAGGTTTTCCATCTCTAAAGATTTGAGATTACTTGTATCACGTCTAATTTCCATTTAGGAGATTTTTGAAAAATATTTGGGGAGGGGGGTAGAGGTTGGAGACTGAAACAAGTCATAAGGGCTGAATTTAATGAATGTCCTAAGGAATATCCTAAGAATGTACTTGTTAAAGAACAAATTAGATGGTTTGATACTTGATAATGTCAGATATTTTTGTGACCGACTTTTAAAGATTTTTGCTTACTGAGATGTTTTGAGATTTTTTCCATTAAAGAAAATTTACGACCTTAGAGTCTTTAGCTTTTTATTTGTTTTATACTATGAAGACAGTGCTAGCTTTGATATTTTGTAAAAATTTTTTGAGATATTTTTTATTCAGAGAGGAAGGGAAAGGGAGAGGGAGAGAGAGAAACATCAATGATGAGAGAGAATCATTGATTGGCTGCCTCTTGCATGCCCCACACTGGGGAATGAGCCTACAAGTCCAGTATGTGCCCTGACCAAGAATCAAACCATGACCTCCTTGTTCATGGTTTGACACTCATCCACTGAGCTATGCCTGGCGGGCCTAGCTTTGATTTTTACAGTTAAAAATGAACCAAGCTGCCCTAGCGGGTATGGCTCACTGGATAGAGCATCAGCCTGCGGACTGAAGGGTCCCAGGTTCGATTCCAGTCAAGGGCACATGCCTGGGTTGCAGGCTCCATCCCCAGTAGGGGGCGTGCAGGAGGCAGTCAATCAATGATTCTCATCATTGATGTTTCTAGCTCTCTCTCCCTCTCCCTTCCTCTCTGAAATCAATAAATATATATATATATATATAAATGAATCAAGCTATTTTGTTTAAACTTTCTTTTACTAGACACCTAGCTTCACAATGAAGATATACCTCAATAATAGAGAATTTAAAATTGGCAAGTGTTTGATGTAGTTTATCAACATTATTTGCCATTATAAAGGGTATCTTCTGATGCTCTTCTTTAGTATACTGATTGTATATCTCTAAGTTAATTTGATGTTATATAAATCTTTACTTTTCAAATTCAAAGTTTTCTTCTAAGGGTTTGTTCATTATTAAATATTGACTTTCTAGTATATTGTGTGTAGTATCTATCTACTGCCACTTTTTAAAGGGGGAGAAATATCTTAGATACAG